GTCTATTTCTAGCTTTCTGAGGAAGCGCCATATCATTTTCCAAAATGGTTGTATCATTTTGCATTCCCACCAGCAGTGCATAAGAGTTCCGATCTTCCCACAGCCCCTCCAACATTTGTTATTTCCAGTGTTTTTGATTTGTGCCAGTAATCAAGCCATGGTTTTTTCAATGACTCATGTGCATGCAGAAGTTGGACAATGAATAATGAAGACCAAAGAAGAATCGATACATCTGAATTACGGTAGTGGTGAAGAATATCGAATATACCATGGACTGTCAGAACGAACAAATCTGTCATGGAAGGAGAACAGCCAGAATGCTCCTTGGAAGTGAGGATGGTGAGACTTCATCTTATGTACTTTGGACATGTTAGTAAGAGGGACCAGTTCCTCGAGAAGGACCATCACGCTTCGTAGAGGGTCAGCAAGAAAGAGGAAGACTCTCAATGAGATGGACCGACACATCTTTACATGTGGCTGCAACAATGGGCTCAAACAGTAATGACTGTGAGGGTGTTGTTACATTGGGCAAGTGTTTCGTTGTGTTATATATAGGGTCACTATGAGTTAAAATAGACTCGATGGCACCTAACAGAATTTTTCTGATTTACTCTCTCTTCTCCATTTTTATTCTTTAACAAGAATAATCTTTCAATGTTCCCACAATCCTCAAATTTAAGAAGTAAATGCAGGCTAGATTTCAGAACCTCATAATGACAGACTCCACAGGTAAATGATTTAATATTATGCAGGAGCACAGTATAGGAGTTAAAGTACAGGAACTTTAAGGTCAAGCAGTGTGGTTGAAACCCAGGTTTTACCAGTTAGCTTTAAAAAAAAAAAAAAAAGCCCAAGACCCAAACTCAATTTCGTTACACAGAGAAGTCAGGAGTATTAAATGAATTTAAAAACACTGTATAGTGCTTAAGATAAGTCAGTGTTAGCTTTTATTACTAAGAACACTGTATAGTGCTTAAGATAAGTCAGTGTTAGCTTTTATTACTAATATTGAGTTTTCGGTATCTATTTCCCCCCCCCACTACTAGGGAAAAACTTTGAACGTATCTCAATTTTCTGAACTCATGTTTATACTTTTCATTTTAATTCTCGGAACATATCACCTCCTCCCTACCTCCAAATTTCATCTTTCTTAACTACTCAAAAGTCAAGAAAGGAAACTATACTTAAATATATATAAACACTATTCATACACTCCCTTTGTGGTAGCTCTCATGAAATACATAATCTTGCTAAGATGTTGTCATTTTCTTTATTAGCAAATCCACAGCATAAAAGATGTTCCTTTTCTCATCTAGGTCAACTGGCATAACAAAGTTTATTAAGAAAATGTTCTTCATCCTACTCTGGTGAGTGGTGTCTGGGGTCTTAAAAGCTAGCAAGCAGCCATCTAAGATGCATCAACTGGTCCCAACACACCTGGAATAAAGGAGAATGAAGAACACCATAGACACAAGGAAAGTATTAGCCCAAGAGACAGAAAGGGCCACATAAACCAGAGACTGCATCAGCCTGAGACCAGAAGAACTAGATGGTGCCTGGCTACC